GCATCCCGAAACAATTTACAAAATGAAACATACTTACGGAATTGCTGTCTTAAAACCTCCTTTGTATCATCCCAGGTCGTAATGATTTGTGGCCGATTGTCATACCACTGACGAGCATGCCCCCTCAGACGGCTAGCGATCCATCGCATGATACCGGACAGCCAACTCATCCATATGCACGATCTATTGGTCCACGGTCACTTCATGTCTCGACGGGTCGAAAATCGGAATTAACTGCTCGTCTCTCAGACGGCTAGCGATCCATCGCATGATACCGGACAGCCAACTCATCCATATGCACGATCTATTAGTCCACGGTCACTTCATGTCTCGACGGGTCGAAAATCGGAATTAACTGCTCGTCTCAACGCAGGTCGTCGACGTTCGAGGTCGCGATTTAGAACGACTCAATTCCTCCACGAGTCGCTCCAACTGCCTAATGCGATCAGCATTTTGCCTTGACCGATTGTCATTGGAACTTCGCGATCCTCACTTGCGTTTTCTATTGGTACGGTGTTCGCCCATGTTGTCACCCTTTCACTAGAGGTGTGTGAGAACTTGAGATATCCGGAACCCGATGCTCGGGACGGGTCGAGTTCAAGGAATTCCGAAATTGTCGGGATTCTCGAGAATGTCGAGGATTCCCGAAAGTGCCGGGATTCTCGAAAATATCGAGATTCCCGAAAATTCCGAGAACCCGTTTGGCGTTTCGTGACTTGCTTTAATGAACACAACCGCGGTTTCAATTTTTCGATTTTATAGGTGTTTTCGAAAACTGCATTACGAAATTTATTTACTTACTTATTTTTACTTATTTAATTCCGACACTTTCGAGAGTCCCGTCTCTCCCCGGAATCCCGACACTGTCGGGAATCTCGAAATTTTCTGAAACCCGTCCCGATCCCGGAAAAAATTTCCCTTCCGATTCTTTCGGGTTCTCGCACACCTCTAGAAACCTCACTGGAACCCGAGAAAAATTCTCAACCCGATATTTTTGGGTTCTCTCACACCTCTAGAAACCCCACCCGATCCCGAGAAAAATTCTCAA